TCAGATAGTATCAGAACCCCAAAACCCCAAAACCCCAAAACCCCATAATCAATGTAAAAAATTGAACAAAGATTAAGAACTCAGATTTAATAATCTCAAGCTATACGAACTAAATTCAATGAATCCACGTAAGATTAATCAAATTAGTTATACAATATAATTTTAACATTTTGATTCAAGAATATGGAAGTATAAGTCATTACAGACGATTTAGATTACAAGTATATTTTGCATTATCTTTACTTTATTTTAGTCGAGGCTTTGAAAAATACCTTAAGGCTAACAACTTATTCTAAAGAGGGACAGCATATCACACAGTTGCCGTCATTGGTGCACAATCAAGTGGAAAAAGTAAAAATTCGGATCATTTACTAATATGAAAAATGCTAATTTATCTAATAATAGGTACCTTGCTAAATCTATTGTTCTCAACTGAGTTCGAGACACTAGACCAACAAAATGGAAGATAGTAAACCACTAAAGGAATCTGGATGTCTAAGAACCCCAACGGAAGCATTCTTATATTTGATATTGAAGGTACCGATAGTAAGGAGAGAGGCGAGCAGAGATTAGTAATCATCTATGAAACATTTAACATTCTTTTAGACATTCGAGTAGACCACATCATTGTTTGCCTTAGCTGTAGCTGATGTATTAATGATTAATATGTGGATGACTGTAATAAATCAAGTCTTGATTAGTATAATTATAGGATGTTGGAAGATATGGAGCCTCAAACTATGGCCTTTTGAAAGTCATTTTTGAAGTTAATCTAAAGATCTTTGGCCAGTAATAAAAGAAAAGACTTCTATTTGTCTTAAGAGATTTTGATGATAGAGGTTCTAACAGAGAGAAGTATATGGACATTATCCATGGAGATGTTATGAAGATTTGGAGTGAAATTTATAAGCCTGACCTATTTAAGGAGTCGGTACCAAGTGATTTCTTTGAGTTTGAATTCGCCATGATCCCTCATAAAATTTACCAAGAACCATAGTTTATTGCTAAATGTGGTGAATTAAGAGATAGATTCGATGTCCATGCACCAAATACTCTTTTCCCAACACTAGATGATAAGAATGTACCCATGGATGGCCTATCGATTTATATTGATAGTACTTGGGAGAAAATTAGAACTTAAAAGGAGCTTAATTTACCAGATCAAAGAGTGATGGTAGCAAATTTAAGATGCAATGAATTAAGAGATGAAGCTTTTGACCTAGTTATGCCACAAATTAATGACTTAAATGAACTTGCTTACAAGTAAAAAGTTGATGATTTCCAGTAGAAGTGCTAGAATATTATATAGGAAGCAATTTCCCATTACAAGGAATATGCACATTAATATGATAAGACTGTTTACGAGAAAGTATAGAAAGAGCTTGTAGGACTTATCCTCTCAAGTTTATTCAAAACTTTTGATCTTCAATTGAAGAGCATTAGACAACAAATTTTTGATAAATTTGATAAGGAGCTTAGAAAGCTTAGTATCAGAGATCAAGTCAATGAAAAATTTTTCGAGTCATCTCAAAATTTATTCAATGAGTGCGCTATCTCATTTAAGAAGCAAATTGCAAATCTTGTTGTCGATGGAAGTGGCTGGGGTGAACAAGCCTTAAATCATCAAAATGACATTGATTAGCAACTCAGATCCCTAATTCAAAATGCTAGAGAAAAGGAAATTGATAAACTCTAAGTACTCACACTTGTAAGCATTAATTATAGAATGAAATATATACTTATAGTAAGCTGCTAAGAATAACTTAGAGGAGATTATTAATGCTCCAATTTATGAACTTGATGGCGATTTCTGGGAACAGATTAAGAAGCCATTTTTAAATGAACTTAGAGACTTAGGTTCGAACTGTGAATTCATCCTTAAGTGTAATATAATTTTAATTCTAATATGTATTAGCTGGCTTCAGATGTGATCATGAAGAAATTTAAGATTTCTTACAAAATCTTGAGCAAACCATTCATTCAAACACTGTCGAAATAGTGAAGAGACTTTTTAGAGATATCAATACTAACCTCTTGAGAAAATTCAATAAGCTTTTTAAGAAGGATGAAGCTGGAAAGAACAGAGAATGGAGAAATATAGAGGAATAGAAGATCAGAGAGTTGCATCTCAAATATAAGGCTTTAATGGATGATGTTATTAGTGACTTCAAATATATCAAACTACCCAGAGCAGCTTTGACTGGAGCAGGTGATTCAAATTCAACTCCTGGCGGTGGGCTTTAAAGATCTAACACTGTGATGTATGCTAGACTACTATCAGAGCAGGATATCAATAAGGTGAGAGATAAATTCAGTGAAGATATTGATTTTGTCCTCGAGGAAGCTATCAGAAAGCATCATAATATTTAGGCTACCACTATTCCTTGGTGGATTTATCTCCTTCTTGCATTCTTTGCAGCTGATAATGTAATTGGATGGCTATCCTCCCCTTTAATATTCTATCCACTTGTAATGATTTTGGGAGGTATTTCTATGCTCTACTCTATGGGACTCGGCCCTGTGATTGGTCCCCTTGCTAGACAAACTACAAATGTTGTGCTCAGCAGATTCAACATGCAAGTTTGATATCACTGAAACTGATTGAAGATAATCTTGAATTACTTTACTCAATTAAAGAGTTAATAATTAACAATATTTATTTATAATATTCTTAATGGATTAGTTGTAGCAATAGGAGCCTCAATAGCAGAGCAAACTATCATAGATAAATAAATTTCCAGTTAGCCAGCATGACCATTAATTCAAGATTATTATTATTGGTGATCCTTGCTGCGGTAAAACATCGCTACTGATGAGAGTTACTACTAACAGAAGGAATGAGATTTATGAAATGACCATAGGAGTGGATTGCAAATCAAGGACATTTGAATACTAAGACAAAAAAGTAAGGCTTCAGTTTTGGGACACTGCTGGTTAGGATAGATTCACAAGTATAACAACTTCATATTATAGAGGATCTCACTGTTGTATTTTAGTATTCGATATTACAAACTAAGACTCATTTTTCCACTTATATAAATGGATTGACTAATACAATTATTTCAATGACTTCCCAATCAAAAACATCATCATAGTGGGTAATAAGCACGATCTAGAAGAGTTAAGAGCAATCTCAAGGCTTGAGATCAATTAGTTTTGTTAAAGTTTAAACTGCGAATACTTAGAAATAAGTGTTAACAATGACTAAGGTGTTGATAACCTAGTAAATAAGGTAATAGAGAAGTGTCTTTAATTGTAGAATAAGGTAGATGAAGAACTGCTCTCTGGTAAGGTAGATGAGATTCATCATAACACTATTAATCTCAGAACTTAACCTCGTCCTTCAATTGCTGATATAAGACCCCTTAATCTTAGAAAGGTAAAGAAGAAGGGTAAATGCTGCTGAGTAAAGCTCAATTGGATATAATACTTGCTTTAGAATGTATCGTATGTAAGTAGATAGTTGCTTATTCGTAATTAATATATATCTGTGTTACTCTTAACTTAAATTTACTGATAAATTAGTTATGAGGGGTTTTGGGGTTTTGGGGTTTTGGGG